TAGATTTTAAACTATTTTGAGTCAATGTTACATAACTCATAGCGTATTGAATTAAATTAGCTTATTTTCATAAGAGCTAAGCTTTTTAACAATTGCTAAAAATTTGGTATCTTGAGAAGACTGCAAGGATTATATTTTTAGTAATATCTCACTGAAAGTAGGCTCACTGCGGGAAATACTGGATGATGATCCTGATTTTTTAGCTGACGCATCAATTTTCGAAATTGTAAACAATTACAAACTTTATAATACAGTGAATATGTAATAGACAAATGGAAAAAAAATAATAGTAATAATAATAAAATTATTTGTTTAAAAATTAAAATTAAGAATTACATTAGAAGTGAAGATTAAAGAACTCACGAAAATACGCCTACAATTATCAACAGTTTTAACTGTACTAATTAAAATTAAAATAAAACTTCAATCATTTTATTAAATTCAGAATAAGTATTCCTATTTGAAAAGTGGGTTTTTATAAAAAATAACTCTATATGTATTTTTAAATAATTAAACTTGTTTAGGTTCGGATTTTGCCAAGCTTAACGAGCTATTACCTCTTAAGAAAGGGTATGACAATCGATACGATCAGTCTTTAAATCCTACAACATTCTCTAGTTTTACAGCAACAGCTTACCGTGCTTTTCACAGTTATATTCAAAGAACAATTAAGTTAGTTTACTACTTAAATTCTGATATACTCGAATTAAAATTGTTAAGTCTAAGAAGAAAAAATTTTTATAAATATGAAATTTCATATTTTACATTTGTATACGTTAAAATTCTAATTTTGTAGAGTTTATAATGACTATAAAATTACAAATTTAATGTTTGATCAATAAAACTTTCAACATTGATTTACTAGAGTATCGTAAAATTGAATTTACACATTTTTAGACTTGACATTTTTAACCAAGCATTACAACATTTTATGATGATATATAAATTTAAAAAAATTGTACTGCGATAGCTTAATGAACGAGTTTAGAAAAACTACATGCAGTTTACAATTAAGTGATGTTTTCTTCAAATCTGATTTGGTACAAGAAAATGATAACTTCGACAGTATCACTAGGGGAATGATAACTCAACATGCTCAAGGACAAGATCAATTTTTCACGTCACAGGTGAAATTCTATTGATAAATATTTTCAGTAACTTTTCATTCGAATCTTTAATGTATACAAAAGTANTTTCATTCGAATCTTTAATGTATACAAAAGTACCAAAGTACTGCGTTTTATTGATGTCATCAAACGATTATAAATAAGATTGTTTCATTCTTTCATAGATTAGTAATTTATTGTTCAAAAAAACAAACCCACTTGGAGGCTTAGATCTTATTAGTATAGATATATCTAGAG